TTATAAGACGATAACTCTAGAGGCTCATTCTTGACCACACTTCAGATTGATTACTACGAATTATGCAGTTTACTCTTAATCTTACAAAGAACTTTCAAAGTTTTACTCCGAGAAAATTCTTCCACAGATACGAAAAGGAGACTTTAGAGCATTGGTTCATGCTGCAATGATGTGTACTTCATTGGAAATGGCAACACTAACTTAGTCCAATTATAAGCAGTGACTTTAAACTAGGCAAAAATAACTTTAGGAAAAAATTTTCAAAAAATAGCGATGAACTTTGCTGAGTGGACGTTCGCTCTCGTCAACTGAAACGAGTAAGTAGTGAATACCACATTCGGACCTTCCTTGCCTATTTCAAGGTAATTTGTAATTTTAGGACTTGCTATATGGTTGTTCAGGCCCAGCAATTGCGGACCCATAATGAAATTGTGTCAGATCCATCCCACTAATACTTTGAGATATGTCAAAATGATTTACTAGATTATAGTGGCTGCTATGAGACAGAGGATTTGCGAGTGAGGGCATGAAAGCGAAAGTCTTCATTAACTGGGTGTGGTCACTCTTTATCAGTGAGTACACACTACATCAATGCAAGGTTGCAGTACTCGAGCATGGGTATTTTTGCAGAGATGCTATTTTCTACTACATTCATCCCGATAAAAAAAATCAGATCAATTAGCAGATACTGCCGTAAATGAGCAGAAAGGAAAAAGAATTTAAAAAAGCATGATAACTGAATTACTCACGATCAGTGGCCTTGTTCCAATATGAGATTGTGCTCACATTCATACCAGTTCCATTACCAATTTGCAAAAGGGAAGAATTCACTGCAAAACAATTAATGAATAGAAAGTTGATCACATCTTTCAAGACAAAAAAAGCTGATTCGCTTCAAATATAGTAGACAAGAGCCTCAAAATTCCATGATATTAGCAAATGCAAGGAGTAGGTAGTAGAGCTTACCAATATATTTATAGGGTCGATTTAGGGCCACAAGTCTTTTTGTTATCTGCTCAACGGCTTGTTTGTTCCAATTGAGACTGTCAGCATAGTTATATGGGCTCAAGCCAATTACTTCATCGAGTACCTGAAATTGGCGATCTATAAGGAGGAGGAAAAGAAATGATAAGTGGGGAAGAGAAACGGAGGAAGGGGGAGAAGGGGAGAAGGCACGGAAGATGTAGGAAGTTTTCTTAAACTTGAGTACAAACTCTACTCATATCAGATTACCTAAAAGCGCTCGACTCTAAACACATGATAAGATGCCAGTGGCAATATCAATTTTTTGCAGAGAGCTAACAACTGACGATATAAAGTTATAATCCAAGAAAACAAAAACGCCTAAGGGCAAAGAGGCGCGTGCCAGCACCTCAGAATTAGAGCACGGTAAATTCATCAACTTCCGCGCGCGAGAAGGATGAGTTTCGAGTATTCTACCTATTTCTCTTCATTTTCAGTACAACGTTTCAAGAGACAAGTTCGGAAATGTCTGGTCGCCTCTTCCATAAAAGTGGTGCGATTCGTCATCTTAGTTCGTAGCGATGCCCAATTTTTAAAAAAAATTCGAATTGCTCCATTTTCGTCGCATTTAAGGTAATTTTTTTTTTCATAAGGAAAA